CTTCTGCATTTTATTTTTACATTGTGGAGTTATAATCTTGATTTTACAATTTATTTTCTATACTACTACATAATCTCCATTACTTCTCAATTCTACTTAAAGTTTTCAACATTCAATTTCAATTATTCACAAATGGATCCACAATCATTTGTTAAAAACTTGTTCGATATCGGAGGCCAAACACCTGTTCAAAGTCAATTTGGAAATGAATTCCCTGATTTAAATGAATTACCTATTCCAGAAAATATTCAAGATTTCAACGTTCATGAAGGTAGTCATCCAATTGATTTGGATGACGTTGATGATAATGCTAGTCATCCAATTGATTTGGAATAGGATGAAGAACTTGCATTAGATATTCCCGATGCAAGACGAAAGATAAAGGGGAAGAAGTAGGCAAAATGTTGGGACCAATTTAAATTGGTTCAAACTGGTCGTGTGATCGATGGAGTTTCAGAAGTCAAAACAGTATGTAAATACTGTCAACAACGACGGCATGGCAAAAAGGTATTGGAACCATCCACCTCAACCGTCACTACAAAACATGTGCGGCCAAACATGAGCTTCTTCCAGCTGGTCAAACGCAACTATAGTTTGGTAGTCCATGCGCCTATGCTACTACTACGCCACTTTCTATGTGGATATATTCGGAGGAGAATGCTCGAACGGGAATGGTGAAATTTGTTGGCGCGACGGAGTTGCCACTAGGAATAGCGGACAACCAACATTTCGTTTCCTACGTCAAACAATATCTTCAATCAAGGTACAATGAGGTAAGTCGAAATACTCTTCGTTCTAGTACAATTGAATATTTTCTTAATTCACGGAAACTATTGATTGCAGATTTAGAAAAATATGGGGATGTGATATCTTTAACTTCGGATTTGTAGGAAGTGATTAATAAAAGAAGTTACATAGCTGCAACTGCACATTATATAGACCCACTTTGAGTCTTGCATAAAAAAATTATTACTTTTAAAATTATTGAATTCCCGCACAATGCTAACAATATATTTAATGCTATTATGAACATTATTAAAGAATATAAATGCGAGAGTAAAATTCATTTTTTACGTTCGACAACGCAAATGTAAATAAGCTTGTTATCGATAAATTGCATATGGTGCTTCAACCCGATTTCGGTGATTTTTTATTTCATATTCGATGTGTTTACCATATTTTTAATTTAACACTACAAGTCGGTTTAAAACATGTTAATGATGAAATTTAACGAATTAGGAATGCACTAGTCTATATCACGATTGCACCTAGTAGAAAACAAGCATTTGAGAAATTTTGTGGTGAAACTGGGATGTCACATACAAAATCATTTATTAGTGACGTAGGGTATAGATGGAACTCCACATACTTATTATTAAAATCGTGTGAAGGTTTCAAACATTTCATTGCTAAATTTTATTACAATAGGCATATGAGAGACGACGACGATACTATTTTAAATGAGCAAGATTGGAATTTAGTTTTTAAAATTAAAAATTTTTTGACAAGTTTTTATGATTTTACAAATATTTTGTCTGGTGTTTATTATTCTACTAGTTGTATGGTCCTTGAACGTCTGTATATAATTGCTAGGGTTTTTCATAGATTTAAAGATGACCCCAATTTTAATTCAGTTATGTTTTTCATAGAATTAAAATTTAGAAAATATTGGGAAGACTTGCCAATGTTATTTCAGTCAGCATGCGTCATGGACCCCCGATATAATTTATCGGGTACTAAAATTTTTATTGATCAAATTTCAAATGCTTTAACTTTTAACGTACCTATTACTTATAGGAATTTGGAACAAACTTTATGTTAATGTATGAAATATATGATTCACGAATGGGTACACATATTACTCGTGTACCCTCCGACTCTACAAATACTCCTCCCACTAATATAGGAGATGACGATGCTGAAGTTATAAATTTATTCCAATATATGAACTCATATAGATATGATTCAACTACATATGCATGTGGTTCCTCTAGTAGTAGTACTAGTTTGTTTTCCACTGCATGTACTCAAATATCGAGTAATAGTCCAAATACGTTGTCTGCTGAATTAATTGATTATTTTAATCATAATATGCCTAGTAACAATACGATTAGGATATATTTTAATCAATTGAATTAATTAATTATTTTAATCATTACACACACACACACACACACATATATATATATGGTTTAGTATAGTGTTAAAAAAAATGACTCATCGAGCTGCGAGCTCGGGGCACGAGCTGAGCTCACCCATAGGTGGTGGACGAGCCACGAGTTCGACTCGTGCGAGCACCGTGTGGGTAAAGGCCAAACCGGCTCAACTCGGCCCATTGCCACCCTTACTACCATTGAAGAATAAGAGTTTATTTGGTAAAGATTAAAATTCAATTAAAATTGAAAATATAGTCGTTATTGGGTCTCACTCGTCTAATAAAAGTCAACAATAACGGCTAATTTTTTAATTTTAATCTCTACCGAACACGCCCTAAGTACTTGTGGTTAGGTCTGTGAATGGATCGGATTTTGATCCGAATCCAATCTGAATCCAACGAAATTAATGGGAGATGGATTTAGGGTTCAGTCCGATAATCCGATCAAGATCTGAATCCGATAATACGTTAACTAAATTGCTCAAATATGGATATAGATCAATCCGATCCGATAACAATCCGATTCGATTTGTTATAAATAATTGAGTCGATAAAATATTTTTATGGCATATTATTTGTCACTAAAATAAATAAATTTAAAATAAAAAATGATCAAATTCAAAACATAAAAAAGTCTAAGTTTTTTTTAATTATTAAACTTGTTTAAGAATTGGAAAAATTAAAAAAAAAATTGATTTTAACCAATGTTTTTCTAATTTTAGTTTACTAATTTAAAGTAAATAAATATCTATATTTTTCTTAATTAAATTTATTATTGTAATTAATTTTACAATTTCAAAAACTAATAATTAATATGTTACAAATAATCTGATTTGTTAATGAAAATAATGAAATAAAATATTTATATTTAGAATTGAAATTCAATTTTACTTTATTCCACATCGAATGTCAATAGAAAACTAGAAGAGAATCTCTCCTTTAAAAATGAACATCATGATGGTAGAAGTCACTATTGGGCTTGCTAGGAAAAATTGGTGGGCCTCAAGTTAATTCAAAATTTTTTCCCTAATTTTTATTAATTTTGGATCGGATACTCAATAACATTGCAGATTGGATATGGATTTAGCAATTAAATATCCGTTGAATTATAGGATCGGATCAAATCGGATCGGATAAATTTTCTTATCGGATCGGATCGGATATAGACAGATCCGATCCATATCCGATCCATTTGCAGCCCTACTTGTGGTGGACCTCACATTAATTACGAGCTGGTTTTTCCTGTTAACTTTACACATCACTTTCTAGAACCTCATCAATGACATATTTGGTGGGTTAATTATATGAATGGTAACTGAACTTTTTCAATTGGTACTGCTTAATAAATGAACTTAAAAAATGTATTTCAATTATCACTGAATTGTGCATAGTATCCGTCCATCATTGAAGTCAATTTTAATTGTCAAATCTAATGGAATGCCAACGTGTCAAACGGAATTCCAACCCAAATCTATTGTGCAACCCCAACTTCAAATTACAGTTCTAACTTATTACAGCCTTACAGATGCTTTGTCCATCAAATTCTTTGATGAATTGGGTGGTAATGCCTCTGGTCGAATGCAGTAAGGAGCACTTTGTAGTATTGAAATGTTAATTTCTATGAGCGTAATGTGTTTGTGAAATTGCTCTATAGAGCAAACTCAACTTGTTAAATTTGAAATTTTGATTGTGCCCTCTTAACTCACAACATCTGCATCTGTCACTGATTCATTTGGTTAATCTCATATTTGGCAGATAGTAAAAGCTTGAACAATAAAGTTTATATAATTTTATTTTTTATTTAACCAAACAAGCCATTTCATTTTTTACCCTATGGAATTAAAGATTTCACTAGAAAATAGTTATAAGCAGTATTTTAAAAAGTGCATCTAAACGCAAAGCTTGATCTTACTATTTAACTACGCTTTAAGCTCCTTAAATTACTGATTATAAGAAAGGCTTTAGAAAATGATAATGAAACCAAAGCTTAAATTATTGGAAGTAATCTGGATTAGTCAGTGACTCAATGTCACTAACGCTAGGCATGGAATGGAAAAGTACATGAAAATAAACGTCACTACAAATGCTACGACATCACTACAAAATCACCAATGTGGTATTAAATAATAAGTCTATTAAACGTAATAATATGAGATTCATTTCGTTGAATAGATTGATATTTTAACACAATTGATGCTAGCATTACTCCACTACAAATTAAGGGATTGGCGTAATTTTTCTACTGCATTTGCATTCCCATAATGATGGGAAATTTATTATTATCCCGCCTTGATCTAATTCTTTTCCTTTGTGAACCCCACCCCCTTTCTCAAAAAGCAACTATGTTTAGAGTATTAAACCGTGTATATTGTACGGAGTTTGTAAATGATTTTTTTTTTTGAGCATGGCGGGAGCATCCCTAATTTTTTTTATTTCAATTTCTAAACACTCCTAAACCACTTAGAATTGTGAAATGTACTTTGTATACAATTGAAATTCATTTGTTTCATGGTGTGTTAAGAGAAAAGAAAAGGAAAAAAAATATCTTAGATTTTTTAAGAAACAATTTGTTATCAAAATTATCTTCTATATTCAAAATATCTTAGTTCATTTCCTCTCAGATTTTGCTAATTTATTCTATTTTGTTTTATCAGAAACAATCTCATGTTACAATATGGATACAATGTATGAAACCCAAAATCCTAAGAAAGCAAAAAAGGAAAGAAGAAAAATCAAAACCGAACTTTTGTACTCTACAATATGAAATAGAAAATGTGGACACAAGTGATGGTAAATACAATCCGTCAAAACAAACCTATCAAGTATGAAATTAATATGATAGAATTCACCTACCCTGTAAAATGGAACTGGAGCTATAGTCTGCAATGGAGGAAGACAATCCTAGTCTGATCTCTTCGATTGTTGGGACGGAACTAGAATCTGTGCTGAAAGTCCGGGGATAAATGGACCAAAATCCTTTAGATTTCATCTTTTCTAGGAGGTACACATCCATATCCTCGACTTCGGATTCATCTAACGTGGTCTTCCCTTCAAACAATTTCATTACTTGTCTCATTGTTGGCCTAGTGTTAGGGTCTGGGTGCGTGCATAACAAGCCTAAATGAAGCACTCTTTCGACTGCCTCTTCATCGAATCCTCCTTTAGCATGCAATCGTGCATCAAGGGCATTGTTCAATTCTTCTCTCCCCATAAGCTCCCATAACCAATTTAACAAAGGTGGTTTGCCTTCTTCAACCGGTCGTCTCCCACACATGACCTCCAAAACCAAAACTCCGTATGCAAACACGTCGGTTTTTGTTGATGTTCGACCACTCTTCATCACTTCCGGTGACAAATACCCAACTGTACCCACCACTCTCGTGGTGCGAGCTGCCTTGTCATGGTCATGCATTCGTGCTAACCCGAAATCACCTAGCCTTGCGTTCATTTCATCATCAAGTAACACATTGCTCGCTTTAATGTCCCTATGTAACACTTTGGCTTCCCATCCGTCGTGCAAATACAGTACACCACAAGCCACTTGCTTCAAAATTCTTATTCTTTCTTCCCAACTCAAAATCTTGCTCTCATCACATTCAAACACCCTTTTGTCCAAACTTCCATTTTCCATGTAATCATATACCAAAATGAGGCTGTCCTTCTCTTTCTTGCACCAACCTCTTAACCCCACCAAATTTCTGTGCTTTAATCTTCCCAAGCTTGAAATTTCAGCCAAGAAACCCCTCGTCCCTTCGTTTTTTTCACACGAAATTCGCTTAACTGCAACCTCTGCTCCTCCTGTCAATATCCCCTTATACACTTTCCCATTCCCTCCAATTCCAATAACATTTTCATCCGAAAAGTTCCTTGTAGCTGCCTCAATTTCTTGAAAACTAATTTTATGTGGCCAATACTCTTGTTCCCAATCTTCCATTTCCTCTTTCTCCCTTTTTATCCTTTCATTCCTTTTGAGCAACAAGAAAACAACTATAGAACATATGATGATCAAAAAGAATAGCCCCGTTGTTATGCCTGCAATAAAACCTCTGGATTTGTAGATTGGAGTTTTACCAAGCTCGAAAGATGGCAAATTACTTGTGATCAATCCTTCGTGTAGCGAAAAGTTCTTGTTGCTATAACTCCAAGCTAAAATCTTGTGACTTTCAATTAGAGTACCTGTGGCTGCGGTGAAACCAACATACATTTGATCCTCGAAAACATCAGAAAAATTGCGTGAAACGTTTAACAAGGGCTGCTTAGGCCTTTTCATTCCCACGGGTGCCATTGCAACATTGATATTATTATCAGCATAATCAATCCAAACTTGGTAATTTTTGCCATTATTCAGCTTCAGTTTCTTAAAGGTTTTCTCATCATTCCAGTAGCCCGCCTCGTGCGCCATAATCGATTCGAGCGAGTTCACATCAATTCCGACATGATTGTCGTTGATGTCCTTGAATTCTTCATTCACAATCACATCAAATTCAACTCCAAAAACATGGTTACTCTGATCACCGTTATTCGTTAAGTTAAACAGGCCATTGATGTCCTTGAATTCTTCATTCTCAAACACATCAAATTCAACTCCAAAAACATGGTTACTCTGATCCCCGTTATTCGTTAAGTTAAACAGGCCTAAATGCTGAGACGAACTGGAACCATTGATTCCTGTGTTTGGCACAAACAAGAAAACTATACCATGTCCTGGGAGCCTTTCCTTGTACGGCGCCATAGCGAAAATGAAAGACGTCGAAAAGGGAAGTACCTGGGATGAACTCGGTTGTTTTGTGGCAATCTTTGTCGGGAAAAGGGCACGACCAATAGAGTAAGATGTATCATTAGTTAATATAAGAATCCCCGATTCGATTGTGGCATTTCCATAGAGAGATACATCGGAAGAATTGAAGCCGTTGTACAAGAAATCAATGGCAGATATGGATTGAACTGTTAAAATTAGGATTAAAAGGCACAGTGAAAGGTGGTGTTTTTGGTGTTTCTTCATTGGTTTTTGTACGGAGGAAAAGTGACTCCCATGGGAAGTGGGAAAGGAAGAGATCCAAGAAAAAATAACATATTAGCTGACAAATGCTGTTTTAGATAAATTAGGGGGGAAATTGCAGTCACGGTATCAAATGTTTCACTTTTATGCAGATTTGATCCAAACTTTTCATTTGTACTATCTACAATACCAAACCTTTCAAAAACTCACAGTTGAAGTTCAAAATGGGTGAAAACTGTTAGTTTAATTGTTAGTTGACCAAAAAATTAGCATTGATCATAATTATGATTAATTTTAAAAGAATAAAATGATAATTTTACGTTTTTGAACAAAAGGCATAATTGCAATATATTAATAATTAAATCAATAAAACAAAAACAGTATTCATCTTCTTCTCTTCAAAAATCATCAAAACTAACAACATATTTGAAGATACATAAAAAATCAGAGGCTGTAGAATATTGGCACTAATTATATAATAACATGACTAATAGCAGTAAAAAGAAATTTATTCTTTTACACAAACATCATCTCCCACCAAATGATAGGACTAGTTATCATATTTCACATGTATGTCGTGTGATTTGAGGATAGCAGTAACAATGGATGCAAATTACTAATTCCAAAAATGTTTTGTAAAAGTGAGGTTGACCTTATTTTGTGTCGACGGTGGCACCGACATTGATATTCTTATTGGACGTTGACCTTTATTTTGTGGCAACGGTGGCGTGGCGTTTGGTGGGTACGGTGGTGCTGACCGCAGGTAGTCGTGGTGGTTTTGGAATAAAGGAGTTGGGGAAGAAGGGGATGGAGTGAAAGATTTTTGTGTTTATTTTTGCTTTTTAGATTTAAATATTAATATATTATAATTGTGTTTTTTATTGAAAAACAATTAAGTTATTAATTTATCTTTTTAAAATTAGTCAAAATTATAGTCAATATTAATTATTTGGTTAACTAACAATTTCCGTCTATTTTGACTTTAACTGCGAGTTTTTAAAAGGTTTAGTATTGTGGGTAATACAAATGAAAAGTTTGGATAAGTCTGTATAAAAGTCAAAAGTTTAGTACCATGGCTGCAATTTTTCCTATATTCGGCTTGATTTTTCAATGTTCTGATGTTCTCACTTTGACTACTTAGCATATTAATCAATTAGGGCCTGCCGCGAATTTTAAGTACAGGTTATGGACGTCTTTCTTAAGGTACCAATTTTAAGGACGGAACGATTTTGAATAGTTTTAATAGGAATTTTTAATATAATTCAATTTATAGTTTTATTATTCATCGATTCTGAAAAAAATTAAAATAATAAAATTGCATGTATTTTCACAGTGAAATTTTCAATTTATAATTTATTCTATAATTTTATTTATTTATACTTGATATTTTGCTTATAAGTAATTTTTATATAGATAAATTAATATTTAACCTAAAAATGTAAATATTTAATTATAAATAATATTTACAGTTATAAGTTAATTTTGTACTTTTAAATAATTTTTATACACAATGGAATTTTTTTACTTATAAGTAACTTTTTTATATTTTATAAGTGGATTTTTATCTTATTACTAGTTTTTTTACTTTGTAAATACAAAAAAGTAATTTTTATCTTATCGATAATTTTTTACTTATAAGTAAAAATTTTAATTATAAAATAATTTTTTTCTTATAAATTGTTTTCCGCATTGAATGTTAATTAGGAAAGCTACGTGAGTAGAAAGAGACGTAAGAACTTACCTACAATATTAAACAAATTTAAATAGTAAAATGGATAAAAATTTAATTTTATATTCCAAATCTGATTAATTTATGTCAGCCTAGTCAATATTAAAAATGTTTGTAGTCAAAAGGAGAAAGAAGGATCCGGATAAGTTATGCTATTTGAAAGAAACACTTACATAATATTTTTGACAAAATTTTTACAGAATTACACTTGTCAAGATTTCATTTGCAGTTAAAAAATAGAAAATTGTCAATCATGTGCTGTCAACGCAACACGTGTAAAAATTTTGTAAACAATGATAATGTACATATGACTTTTTTGAAAGTTCAACAAGTTTTGTGTGGCAAGCAATTTTTGACAAACCTTCATTATTTGAGTTGCCAATCCATTTAAAAATTTTGACTTATCCACTTGTACCATCCATGTTTTGAAGCCATCCTCAAGAGCTTAACGATTGGTATTCTCCTTCTAATAGTTCTCCATTATCGATTCTAGTTTATATTGTTATTCATAGTTTGGTATTTTGAGGTATTTTCAAGGCACTCAATTTCGAAGTATTTTCATTTCGTCTACTTCATCATTAGAGTTGCAAGCATATTCTGATTCTAATTGAACTAGTAATCCTACAGATCGCCAATCCACCACTGACTTAAGGGTCTTAGTGAATCCTTTATTTCTTGGAGGAGCAAGAAGAAAAAGATTGTTTCTAGACCTTCAACAAAAGTAAAGTATCGTGTCATGGCTTCTACCACATGTGAGATAGTTAAGTTACGTTGGTTGCTTGGAGATATTGGTATATTTCTTCGTCGACCTATTCCATTGTATAGTGACAATATGAGTATTATGCACCATTCAATATTTCATGAAGAGAACAAACATATGCCACTAGGCATCAACAGTAGTTAGCACTCTCACATTAATTTTGATCTTTGCTCCATGCAGATTGTTGACTAGTTTACAAAGTCACAACTCAACTCGTTATTTCGTTATTTGTTTGGCAAACTCTCGATATTTCTTGTAGTAAAATCATGAGTTTGACGAGAGATGTTAAAAATATGAATTATTTATACTTCATGAATAGATTAGTCTTTTACCTTATTTGCTAGCTATATAAAACTTATTTCCCATGTATTTCATTTGGTAATTGAACAAAAACCATAACCTTCTTTCTTCTCTCTATTTTTTGTTCACTAATTTTAACAAAAATAACGAATAAATGTGATTTTAAAATAAAATATGAACTTGTTATAACGTTGAACTGAAATTTTCCCACAAAACGATGGATTAGAATAGCAAGACGAATATGTCGCTGTGCGAATATAGTTATATATTCGATCTCGAAAGAAATATGAAATTTCTCAAAGTCAACTTTGTTATAATTTAAAACTAAAATTTATTTTCTGATTAAATAAAGCAAGATGGCTTTGAACTTAATTATAACTGCATTCTTTCCGAAATAATTTTTTGTTGACTTTTGTCCAATTGCAATTATAGGCTCGTGGACAAGGATTATCACTTGTATGGCTAAAGAATTCTACAAATTTAGCCCCTATCTCGAATCCATTTTCTAAATTATAAAGAGATAAATGGTAATTTTTTGGAGATTGTGTGGTTAAAATGAATCTTTCATTGATCATACATTTCAATCAAATGAATCTTTCATTGATCCTACTACGTACGTCACCTAAATTGATATTTTAGTACTAGTAGTGTTAGATGGTAGTCTTATAAAAAATATAAAGGGGGCGTCATTATTAAATTGGACCATGCTAGGGCACTGGTAGTGCCAGGGGACCAGTAATTCCCCCCCATCACAGGAGACTACTTGGCCGTTTATGTGGCCATTGTAGAATGGATAAACCGCATTAACTTTTGGGACAACATGTTTTAATATTAGTGATGTTACATTACATTACATTACTATAGCCCATGTTTGAGTCACATTATTTTTTTCGTTCTCATTCTTCTACTCATTTTTAATCACACATTTTTTAATAAAATAATATTTTCCATCACATCAATAATGAATTCCACTTTGACCGTTTGATTGCAACGTCGAAATGGAAATCGAATTCAAATGTACAATCACTTTAAACTGCATTTTTTTTCATAAAAACGAATTCTTATGAGTTTGACGGGTTTTTATTTTCTAACTAACATGTAATTAAAATTCTTCTCTACATTTGCCTATTAAACGGACCCTTAAAATAAAAAAAAAATGGTGGTATCATTGCATTATTAAATTGGACTTTAGGTGGGGCAATCACAGGGGCCAGGCAGTGCTAATGTGGTCCGGCAGAGTGGATAAAAATTGGATTATACTATTTTTATATAAAAATTATATACATAAGGGATTACATAAAATGATGTGGAGTGAAAACATTGAGAGCCTGTTTGGTATGGATTTTGATTTTTTACAGTAAATCAATTCTCATTTTCAACCACACATTTTTCAATAAAATAATATTTTCCATCACATCAATAATTTTTTCTTCTTTTTCAACCACACATTTCCCATCATATCACTATTCAAAAATCAATGCTTCCATTGACCGTATTTTAAACTGACAAATGACAGAGACATCAAAAAGAGTACACTTCTTATTTTTTAGAAGTATTAATTAGATTTTAAAAAAATTTTACTATTAATATTCTTAAAATTAAAAAAAAAAAAATCCTTATTAAACATAAGTTTGTAAGGTTTGAAGTTCAACTTTGCCATCTTGTAATGTGTTACTTCTTTTAGAACTTCGATTGTTATGACTCTTCTGTTAGATCATCGAAATACTTAATTGAAATCATTTTCAGTTGTGATGTACCTAAGCACAATCTTATAATTTAGCAATGGGTTGAACAGAATTAAAAGAAAACAATAGATTCGTCTACTTAAAATGTATCAAATAAAATTTGATTTATTACATGGTCAAAGAAGTTCACAAATTGTTGATGCCGGAGTACATCCAAATCCCACCATTGAAGAATTAAGAACTTCTGGTGGACCTCACATTAATGACAAGCTGGTTTTTTCTGTTAACTTTACACATCACTTTGTAAAACGTCACCATTGAAGAATTAAGTACTTGTGGTGGACCTCACATTAATTACAAGCTGGTTTTTTCTGTTAACTTTACACATCACTTTGTAAAACGTCAGTGGACATTTACATATCACTTTGTAAAACGTCATCAATGACATATTTGGTGGGTTAATTACATGAATGGTAACTGAACTTTTTCAAATGGTACTATTAAAAATTGTATGTCAATGATCACTGAA